TGAAGAAGTCTCAAGAACGCTATCGAGCGAACCACGATAAGCACATACGCCATCCAAAGGCGGAGTATCGTCCCGGGACACACGTGTTCGTCCGACGGGACTACGCGAATCCCCGTACAGAAGCTCGCCACAAGCTGGCGTCAGTGGCAAATGGACCATACCGCGTCGTTTCTGCGGATCAGGACACCGTGGTTATCCAGGATGGAGAAGAACAAGAACGCGTTACACGCGATCGGGTAGTACCTGCACTAGTGCAGCCGAGTCAACCCGTAACGTCATCCATGACGAATATCCACGATCAAAATCGTGTTCCCCGTCCCGATAGACCGGGTATCCCGATCGGTACAGTATCCACCTCTCCTATAGAGCAATCTCAGGTTCCCCCAACAGGGTTGTCGGGCTTGCCAGACACATCGCCTATGAATGGCGCAGCCCAAACCGGAATTTGGAACAGAGCTCGGATTGGACAGCCGCCGCCTTCGAGGCGCTCTGATGGGACGACCAAAAGCCGTCCAGAACACTAGAGGCATGGGGCTCGTCGCTACGCGCGGTTGGCGAATGATACTTCGGTCGGACAGGAGAAGAACTCTACACCACCCACTGACAGTCCCCGTGACGAGCCGACTCCCGCCTCCAACGAAGGAGAAGGAGACGCACGCTACCAATTAGAGCCCGAAGCAGCCGCCCAGAAAGTCCCTGAAGTGACGGAGCAACACTCAAGGGACCCGCGAGAAGCCGCGTCTAACACTACAACAAGAAAAGTGGACAGGGATCAGTCGCAATCTCCACACGCCATCAATGGCGAAGAATACGTGGTCGACCACGTCGTCGCGCATCGCTATGATGACGACGGTAAACTCGTCTTCCGAGTAAGATGGTACGGCTATACGTTGGAGGAGGACACTGAAGAACCCATTAGTCACCTCCGACCGAGCCATGTGATTTTATATTGCAAAAGAAAAGGATTGAATGTCCCAGACTCGATCACTCGAGCGAGACAAGGATAGCTTCAAGACTAAGGTGGATTCTCTTTACCTAAAAGGAATGACTACTCGCCCTATGGCGCTACTGTACGCGAGTTACCGGTTCGCACTTACCGCCAGATGGCGTTGTGAACTCCTCAAGGAGGTTAAAGAGTGCAGGGTGAACCCGGTCTGCCATCGCGTCACGTATCGCGACCAGACTCTGCGAAAAGGCGAGCCTCCCCACTCGGCATGTCGGACATCGTCGGCCTTGCCGGAGAAAGTCTGGACACTTGACGTCGCACTGAGGCCGCGAGAGCGGACAGCGAGTCCTCCTCGGAAGCGATGTCGACCCCGGCGTCACGCAGAAAGTTGCGTACGATGGCCATTTGGTCGTCCACAGTTTCACGAGTTGGAGGAGCCCGGCCAACAAGTATACCGGCTCCAGCCGAATCGTCCGCCACTTCGGCGTTACTCACGTTGAGTATAGGGCCTCCTGCCGAATCAGGAGTCTCCACGGGCGCCACTTGGCGAAGTTCATTATTCATTCCGTCATCTTCGACGTCTTCTTCCCCATAGTCTTCCTGCTGGAGTCCACTGACGTCGGGGGAGAAGCAATAGTCGTACCCCCGACGATGGCTGTCAGGGATAACACGCTGCGCACCAGCGACCTCCTTCGCCCTTTCTGGCGTACATTGTTGATGATGGCAAGGATCATAGAACACAAAGTCGCCACTGGAGGCGCTTTTCGCTATAGGTGAGCGATCGCGAATTCTTGAACCGCGTTGCTGATTCCGCGGATTGATCGCGTTCCAGTTGATCTGGTCTACCTTATTAATAAGGAAAAGAAGCTTCTCATAGTTGTGCGGAGAAACCAACGCCGTGGACAAGTCCATTTGGCGAATATAATACCGCAGAGTCGGGGGCACCCAGAACAATCTGGCCCTGTCATATACCTCCTGTAGGAGAGCGGCTCCAACCTTGGCCACCCACTCGCTGTAAAATAGCGTCCACACGCCAGAATGGCAGTTACGGATCAAGGGCCGACCTGCGTACGTGAGTACAGGTGATAGGTCCACGAAAAAGCCGCGAGGCATTTCGAGCATACCCCAATGTTCGGGGATCGAGACATACCTGTCTCGATGACGCGACTCCGCGATCTTCTCAAGCTCCACCATTTGATATGGAACAAGGAGTCCGAAACGCGATCGAACGCGACGGTCCCGCTTCATGTGGCTCCACAAGACTTCATCGTCATATCGACGTAGAAAGCGGAACTCCGCACGGAGGATGGGGCGACTAAACCGGAGCGTAGCGTCACACGGTTGCCAACTTCCCCGCCACAGTTCGGCGTCTTGCAGTATCGCCACAAGGCGATCACCGTAGAGCTCTTCTCCGCGGGTGCGATAGAGGTGGAAGTCGAACCCATACTCTTCAGGGACAAGCGTTGTGCCGGGGAACCGGTGGAAACGTTGATACACCAATTTGGTGAAGGTGACGCGAGCGTCGCGCACGGGTTCCCGACGACGCGAGCCGTCGACCCACGTAACTCTCCTCTTCAGGTCGGCGTCCATCGATAAAAAGTGGCGAGCCCAATCGTCGCTTCGGACAGCCCCCAGTGTGAGCCCGTCGGGCAGAAAACTCGGTCGCAAATATTGCGTAATTAACGCGTCATCGCGATAGCTCACGGGGTCGTGCCACGGCGCTCCCGCGAAGAGCTCGGCATGCTCGAGCGGGTCTTGCCCGATAAAGTCGGCCGCGTGGCGGAAGACGCGACGACGCGCAGAAGCCCGGATGGTTCCCGTTTCGAAGCCTTCTGCATGCGACATGCCGGATGCGAGAGGCTCCAAGCTGTGAAGAAGAAACGTACGCGAAAAAAACGCGAACAGAAATACACGCGAAAAAATCGCAAAGAGCTCAGTCAGAAACGCCGCCCTCGGCGCAAGTACGCGCTTAGCCGCGAGAGTCGCTGACCTGGAGTGCCAAGAAACGAGAAGAAATAGAACCACGCGCGGGGCTGCGAGTGCAGTCAAAGATGACGGGGTAATGAACCGCGTGTCTCCGGCGGATCGGCACGACCCCTGAAGGGGGGGTGATGTAGTGCAGTGACCCTGCGCCCTTTATCCCTGGTCACCGCCGTCGCGGGGCCGCGCTCCCCGCCTTTGACAGGTGTACTGTGCGTGCACACTTGGGAAGGTACCACACGTGTACCACACGTGGACACACGTGTATGAAAGTCGTATGACACGTATATGATACGTGTACGACACGTGTACGACACGTATACATACGTGGTGCCCACAGGTTTCTACGCTAATTAGCGTGTAATGCCAAGTGGCAATTTTAATGACGATAATTAATTATTAATTACCCATTTAGTAACCGACGCCGACGACGGCGCTCGGCCTATATAGGTCGGGTGTCGGAAGGCGCTACAGTAAAGAGGCATGAGGTGATCGGACCCCATCTCTGGTGGGATCCTCTACGGTTCCTATCTAGTTGGCTAAGTCTGGTACCTGCCCCCTTCGTCGTCATCCTTTTTCTTGTTTTTCCTTTACTTTTTCCCCTATTTTCTACGTTTCTACGATACACTTGTCCTTCCTTCTTTCTTCTGTTTTCATGTGTTGTTCTTCTTCGACGCTGTCGATAGCGGTCTTCAATACGGCCGTAACACTCCCAATCCTTCTAGTTACTCGATCCCGAGTACCCCTTCACGCGCTGACCGCGACTCTACCCGCGATTCTCGTGTTACCTCTGAGCTACCACGGACAGAGGGCCCCGAACACCCTGGTGGTGACTGGACATACCGCTTTCCCTCATAGCGAGATTTACGCCCTCGTTGGCGAGTGTGTCCACTGCACTACACGTTTGTCGTTTTGGCACGCCTCATCGACGCCCAAACGCGTTCGCGGAACTCGCAAATTAGTGATGATCACGCCAACAGACTTTCAATTATGACATTGCAAGGACTGCGCAGACGTGTACGTCTTTTGACTGCAAAGGGTTCAGTAATTTTGCCATCGAGAAACCTTTACGTTGGTTCTGTCTCAGTTGTTCTCCCCCCAATGGTTCTGCATGAAAATACACCAAACATTGAAGAGTATAACACTCAACGCCTTTCAAGAGAAAGCCCCCTCCCCTTTTGTTTCTATATTCGGAGAGAATCATCCTCACCCTTTCAAGAGAAAGGGCGAGGATGATTCTCTTTCTCCGCGAAGCGAGAAAGGGCGAGGATGATTCTTTTGAAAGGGCGAGGATGATTCTCTCCGAATATAGAAACCAAAGGGGAGTGGGGCTGCTCGACATAGTTTCCACACGATTGCAGAAGCAGAGAGCGAATTCAGAGGATCCCATCGAGGGGGATGGCTAGACTGGATCAGTTGGAGCATGTAAAGCTGTTGAATCTCCTGCCCGGGAGGTCAGCGTTTAGGGCTTTTTGGCACCTCAACTCGAACGAACGAACGATCGATCACCTCCACGAAGTGGTATGGATTCACAATCGTCAACGCTTGGTCTGAACCTCGAGCACAACGTTTGCATATCGATCAACAGAATTCTTTTTTCTTTTTGAGCGAATCTTTCAACATATCTCTGTGCCCCCGCTGCCAGCAGCAGGCAAACCTCTCAGGGACGTGCAACAACCGAGGTGGAGATATTCTTCCTTCGTCCTAGGGACGTGACATATTTTACCTCTGCTCCAAAGTAACTGCCTCTTTGCACCCGATTGAACTGGTGGTTCGCAAGATGTCCTGATACTCGATGTTTCAATTGAGGAGCGTTTCATTTCTTTTTCGTACAGCAGTCTTCTTGAACATGTATCTGTTCTGTGAGACGTCACCTAAGGCATGCACGGCGAGGCATTGCGTTGTCCGAAAATCTATGGCGGGGATATCGCTTGTGGAGATGTCTCCAACTTGGTGATCCTATAAAAGAGGCAAGTTTCGCTGACGCCAGTGTGAGGTGTTCATCAGTAATCGTTCACAGACAGGAGCTGATTAAGGGTGACTGGTGCGTCTTATTATTGTCAGTGCGCATCTCATGTCTGCAACAATAAAGAGCGGGAGAGTGAATGAATGTGCGCAATCTACCGACTTCTGTAGACAAAAAGGGAGCTTCCCGAAATTCAAGAGGCGCGATAGCTGTGCTGTGCTCAGTTATTATAATTTTGGATTTTTCGTGCCACAGTGTTTCGATCAAGTCCAGCGGCCTCGCCAGCCCTCTGTCAACTGTGACGAAAACGTACGTTCTTGGTATCACCCTCCGTACCTTCATCCGTGGGCCGCCGCGAGCACATATTCGCCACCCCCGGCGACAGATCAGAGACACACCGAACAGACCGACGCGCACTGCTCCTTCAACATGGGCCGGATGCGCGTGCGCCGGCTTCCCGGGGAAACCTTTGAGCTGTTGCTGAACCTGACGAACCGGCACATCCACGCGCAGCTGGTGGATCGAGCCGGCGGGCGCGTAATTCTAGGGGTGCACTCCAACCAGCCGAACTTGCGTAAGGCGATCGCAGGCCCTGACGCGCCGCGTGGAAATTTCGCGACGGCGTCCGTCGCGGCGGCGCGCATGGTAGGCGAAGCGTTTGGAACCCACGCCTCATCGAAGGGCATATCTGCGGTGTACTGGACACGGCCGGGCAAGTATCACGGAAAGATTAAGGCTTTTATTGATGCTGTTAGGGATCACGGGATCGAGACGAAGAAGGCGCCCCCGAAGAAGATGCCTACCACGCCGGCAACAGATAATTGAACAAGCGTGAGTGTGTGCATGGGGGGGTACTCAGGGCTGGAGACGCACAGGCAATATGTCTGTAATTATCAGATAGAGGCGACATGCCCTTGAACGGACGTGAAGGGTTTTCGAGTAAACTGCCTGAAGGAATCAATACTCTAGTGAGAGAAGGCAGGAAGGAGGAAAGTGGGACAAGGGTGAGCTGGACTCCACGCTTAATAGGTCCGCAGTGCCACTATTCTGAAAGACACGTTTTATGCAGGGCGAGGACATAACATTCACGTAGTGCAATCCAAGCCATCCCAGAAGGAAAAGAATATGACGGCGCGTGTTAGGTCCCCGTGTTGGTGGTGATAGAGGATCGACTTTCCTCGAAGTGCCATACTGTATCTTACCGCGCAAGGGCTCTACTTGCATCCTGTCGTAAATAAATTTATTTCCAGAGGTGGATCATCTCTGGATGCGCATCGTTCCTTTGTGCAGAGCTTCACACACCGCCAGCTCTGACTGCCCTACCCTGGCCAACTAATCCTTCCCCGCAACACGGTATCTCGTCCTCATCCATCTTCAGCACAAATATCTTCCTCAACGCAGCGCCTATGCCAGAGTGGACACAACCACCAATGCCACTTGCACCAGCCTTCCTCCCCCCTGTCGTTGTCCCGTCTCGAAGCTCGACCGTCACCCCCCGCAGCCTTCTATCCCACCGCAAGTCGTCCCACTTTGCTCGAAAGCGTCTCCGCGCCAAACCACGTACAGTTGCCGTGGCAGATGTGGGCAATGTCGCAGCCTCCAAAACGGCCTCTTCCGCCAATTTAGATTCACTAGTCGCGCAGCGCGACCAACGTCGCTTCATCTTCTTCGGAGGCAAAGGCGGCGTAGGCAAGACCTCGAGCGCCGCCGCCGTTGCGGTGGAGTGCGCAGACGCCGGCCTGACTACCCTCGTCATCTCAACTGACCCAGCGCATTCGCTTGGCGATGCATTGCGTTTCGACTTGTCCGATGGAAAGATGCATCGCGTCGACCCGGAGATGGGGCTCTACGCGATCGAGTCGGACACACGCGAGGCCGTGGAGCAGTTCCGCGAACTCGTTACGTCGCTAAACGCGCCGGCGACGAACGCAGACGGGGAGGAGACGGAGAAGGGCGGTTGGAGCTCCGTGGCTGATAAACTCGGGTTGCAGGAGTTTAGCGAAGTCCTGGAAACTATTCCCCCCGGGGCCGATGAGCTTATTGCGTTGGTGAGTGTGTTGGACTTGGTGGAACAGGAGAATTCGGACATCAAGTTTGACCGCGTCGTGATCGACACGGCGCCGACGGGGCACACGCTGAGGTTCCTCGCGTTCCCGGACTTTTTGGACAAGTTCTTGACGCAAGCTCTTGCGCTGAGGGGGAGGCTGAATAGTGCAAAGGGGCTGATTGGGAACGTGACGAAAATGTTCATGGGGTGGGATAAGAAGGTCGATATGAATGTGGCGTTGGAAAAGGCGTCGAAGAGAGTGGCTGTATACAGAGATAAGATGATCGAGCTGAGTGATCTGTTTCGAGATCCGGAACGCACCGAATTTGTAGTTGTTTCGATTGCGACGGAGCTGGCGGTGGCGGAGAGCAAGCGCTTGATCGAAAAACTATGGGACGAAGGTATTTGGGTGCGTCACGTGGTCGTCAACCAGATTTTGCCCGAAGGAAACAAAGTTAGTGTTGACAAATATCTGAGCCAGGTGCGGAAAGGTCAGGCACGAGAAATATCGTTTGCCACAGAGCAAATTGCAGACGAGTATGGTCTCGCAGTTACTATTGTACCGCGTTTTGATACTGAAGTGCGAGGCATTTATGGCCTTGAGGCGATGGGGAATATAGCATTCAAGGAGAACCGAAGGAAATCATACGGTAGACTGTTTGACGAAGATGCTCGTGTATCAGAGGGTGCAGAGTCTCAGTTTGTTTTTGTGGGAGGGAAAGGTGGTGTGGGCAAAACGAGCATCAGCGCGGCGTTGGGAACAAAGCTGGCGGTAGAGGGCTTCAAAACGCTTGTGCTTTCTACGGACCCAGCGCATTCTCTTGCGGATGCCCTGCAAGTGGAGTTGAAGGGAGGGGCGCCAGTGGAGATCGAAATGCCGGAAGGGGAGTTGTTCGCGATGGAGATAGACACGGAAGCGGCTATTGCGTCGTTCCAAGCGCTGGCGAAGGATTTTGTGCGGGAAGGGAGTGGCGGGGTGGGGCGGGACCTGGCACGCAAGCTGGGGCTGGAAGAGTTTGCGAGTCTTCTGGATAACACGCCACCAGGCATCGACGAACTTGTGGCGCTCACTCAAGTAATGGAGCTGGTGAAGTTTGGGGACTTTGACCGGGTAGTAGTTGACACGGCGCCTACGGGGCACACTTTGCGTCTGCTGAGCTTCCCCGACTTTCTAGACAAGTTCCTGGGCAAGGTGATGCGTCTGAAAAAGCGGCTGGACTCAGCGATGGACACGCTGCGCAACGTGCTCGGGCGCAAAGACTCGGCGGACGCGGTGGACCGTGCAGCGCAAGGGGTGGAGAAACTGCGAGAGAACATGGTGGAGCTGCGCGAGCTGGTGAAAGACGAGGAGCGGACGCAGTTTGCGATCGTGACGGTGCCGACTGGGCTGGCGATGGCCGAGTCGGAGCGGCTGGTGCGGTCGCTACGGAAGGACGGGATTCTGGTGAAGAACGTGGTGGTGAACCAGGTGATTGCCGACGCGGCGGCGGAAAAGTTTGTGCAGAGGATCCTGCAAGGGCAGGAGAGGTGCGTGGAGGAGTTGAGGAGGGCCGGCGAGGACAAGGGGATCGGACTGACCAAGGTGCCGTTTTTTGACGCGGAGGTTCGCGGCGTTCACGGGCTGCGGGCGATGAGCGGGAGCATGTTTTCGAGGACGTAGGGGAATAGGAATGGCGGTGCGGACACTTGGTGGTGCAGACACGGATGGTGCAAGCATTGGTGGTGGCGAGATTGGTGTTGGAGAGGATTTTCTTCCCCTAGCCAGCTAGTCACCGTCTAGAAGAACGAACCCTCTACGTAGTACGTACTGTGCTCTGCGTTTACACAGTATACACGGCAGCAGTTGGTGTGTATGAGCGTCTGTCGTGGTCATCTGTCGTTGTTCATCTGTCGTGGTCATCAGAATATGATCAAGTCAATACTGTAGACTTGACAACACATGAAGATGTACTGTAGTACAGAACGTATGGCCAAGGTCCAGGATAAATGTAAGCCGGGTGCATTACAGGTAAGAAAGAAGCAGCCGTGCTTCTCGCCTTTGGTGAGTGCTTGCCAACAATGACGGTGTGACAAGCAACGAGTATCGAGTAACAAGGGCTGTGCTGCCAATCGGCATTCAGAGCCGGGTGTCGAGTCTTAATCATTACATTCGAATGACCGTTTTTTTTGGATAATTTCCTTCCGAAGCACCCATGACCAGCGATGCTACTTTCACTCTCAGAAAGAGGCTCAGACACCGAACCACCCCCGACCAGCGATGATGAAAGAGGTGCGGATATGCAACGGTGTATTTCCCCGCCACTCTTTCCCCTAACTATGGCACTCCTGAAATGAGTGCATTAAAACGGTCCCCTTCCACGTCCTCCTACACACACCCACCCCTCTCCTGCACCCTTCACCAAAACTCCCTTTCACTCCCCCGTCCACCTTCTTTTCACCATCACCATGGGTCTCTTCGGCAAAAAGGCACCCCCCCCGCCGCCCCCGGTTCACCAAGCCCCGCCGCCTCCCTCCATGCAAGAGGTTATCTTCAAAATGCGCTTCACCTCGAAGACTGTCGGCCGCCAAGCCGCCAAGTCTCAAAAGCAGACCGCCCTGGAAGAAAAGAAAGCAAAGGATGCATTGGCCAAGAACAACATGCCCGGCGCACGCATCCATGCCGAGAACGCCATCCGCATCCAAAGCGAGGCCCTCTCCTACCTTAAGCTCCAGTCCCAGCTCGAGGCCGTCGCCGGAAAGCTCCAGGCACAGCAAGTCCGCGCCCAGGTCTCCGACTCCATGGTCGCTGTCACTGCAAACCTCGACCAGGCACTCGCCACCATGGACGTCAGTCAGATTAGCTACACCATGGAGAAGTTCATCAAGCAGAGCGAGGACTTGGACCTCAGCACAAAAGTTATGGATTCTGCCATTGGCGAGAGTACCAGCAGTTCCACCCCGCAAAACCAGGTCAACAACTTGCTGCAGAAGATCGCTGATGAGAACAACCTCGACGTCGGCGATAGGATTTCGGGCCACGCCGCCCCGGTTGGCCAGCCCGCTCATGTTGCCAATAACGACGCCGTCGGTGCCCCCGATGATCTCGTAGCACGACTCGCCGCCCTGCAAGGCGGCGCTCCCCCTCCGCGTTATTAGGGCTTTTGCGTGCATCTGCTTGTTTTCCTTCCTGACCCGCTTTCTGCATATGCGAGGCTGCCTGTCTTTTTCTCTTCAACCGCTTGATTCAGCCGCCCCCGCCGTCGGCTGACGACGAAGCCCTCGCCCGCGCTACTCTGGATGCGTTTGTTCCCGACCTTCAACTGCACTGCAGCGAGAAACCTTCTCAAGTAAACCGTTCCTTTCTTCTTTATCTATTCAAACAGTACAGGTTGTGCCCACGCTTGCATGCAGTTACTTTTGTGTCCCCCGCTTTCCGCTACTAGTAGCACAGCTGCTTGGAGCAAGCGAGCCATTCGTCTACCGTCAACAACCCCGGCCCCACGCTCAACGTCAACGCCGCTGCTGCCATCGTGCTTACCACCTTGACCCAGTTAAACCCGAGAATCGGCGAATTCTCGCTCGATAGCGCGTAAACGAACAGCAGCAACAAAGTCACAGCTCCGTTTCTGCGCGTCGAGTAACCCGTCGCGTAGAGCACGGCGAAGGGAAGCGTGAAGAAAAACGCCGTGCCCCCCACGTGCGACGACAGCGAGTAATCAATCGCCAGGATAGCCACCTGCATCCGAATCCCAGCCTCCAGCACATCTACCTGCTGCATGTGCTTGAGCGTGCAAGAAAGAAAGCTATCGCCTTTGATGGGCGATTTGAACGCCGTCGGCTTGCATATCGACCTTCTTCGCCCTGTGAACATCGAAAAGAGCACGGCTGTCGCGTGGAGAGTGATCCAAGCGAGCTGCTGGAAGAGGGAGAAGCGCTCGTGCTCCGTCATGTCGAAGAGGAATTTAATGAAGATAGCCAGGATCACTATGACATTGAAGGCGCGCACGTCAAAGTAGATAACAGAAAAAACAGATGCCATTGTTCCGAGCAGTACGTTAACTCTGGAGATGAACGGAAGGAGTTCGTCATCAAAGTGGCTAATAGTCGGTTTAAGCTCAATGACGGTGAACAAGACAATGAGAAGACGAACGACGATTGCGAAATATGGACGACAAACTCGACGAACTCGCCGAAACCGAAGGATTAGGTTTTGAAGCTCTGTGCTGCGTTCTCCACAATATCGGGAGCGATGCCTTCCGGAGCCATGAGGACTCTTCAGCGGATGATAATACATGTCTTGTCTTTCCAAATAGCAATGTATTCCTGTAGAATGTGTCTCCGTCGCTTGGAGTCCACGCCTCTTCAGGGTCGCAATCTCCGGTTGATTTTTGTCTTTACGACGGTGATTTAGTCTTTAGAAGCTGCAAACTTGGAAAAGAAAAAAGATGAGCAAGACTACAACCTTTTTCTGAGCGCTGTACATTTGACCGGTTGTTGATAAGGACTGAAGACACAGCCGTACCAAAATATTTGCATGTTTGAGTACTTGGGAAGAGACGGGGATGAATAGTACGTTGGAGTTAATTAGCGAAAGATGACAAAAATTTATATTCGAGACTCAGAGCCTTAATTCGAGCGAATAAGCACAGCAGCTTCAATGAAGTGCGTAGAGGATGTGACAAGTGCTGAGCCAAAGCAATCCACACCCGGAATTAAATAAATTAAGTTCTGGCGTCAAAGAAAAGCCGTCTGTCTATGTTCAACGAAAAAGAAATAAACCCGGGCATCGCGATAAGGCCAGAACACAAGTTAAAAGAAAAAAGCGCTGTCAAAGGACAGGGAAATTTCATCCGTTCTGTATCGGCTTAGAATCTGCAACTCTGGCGCGGATGACAGGGAAGCCCATGTTGATGCTTGAAGACATGCCCTTTTCCGCCTTCGTTTGGGCAAAAGTGTGCCCCACATGTAGCAGTTGTACCCTATGTCCAATATATAAAGCAAACTAAAGAGGGGTAGTTTAACATGGCCTTCCACGTTTGTACCGCCGCGCACGCCTTTGTCCTACAGTCACATTGCAAATGGTGGCATCATAGGAAGAGGAATCATAGGAAGAGGATTTCTAAACCTCTGAGCGCAGCATTCGTCAGCAGTCACTGATGAGGTTTTCATCGACGCCCAACACACAAGAGGTACACGTATGCTTGGAGCAATCCAGCAATCGCTTTACTGCCTTGCGTCATCTCCAGTAGAGTGACTCTATGTCTGATAGAAGATGTTAAGTCTCGCCGAATGGGTTACCATGTACTCCTGAATATCCTCAGAAACAAAATCTCTGGCAGAGGATTCTCGCTGTAAGAAACTCTCAAGTGAACCACGGCATGAAGGAGAATACAGGATAAGGCCTTGGAAGCATAGCGCGACAAGACTGTGTGGCTGACAGGATGCGACGTGCGCGAAACGGGGCGGGTACATGGGGCACCGAACTTGTCACTGGGGAGGAGGACTTAATGCTAGCCGAGGTCGAGGACGATATCGACGTGAATAAAGAGCGCGTCCCAAAGGATCCAGGGGTGGGTCCTGAGTTCGCCCACCCCGATTCTTTCAGAAGCACCACGAACGTGCTAAACGACATGCTTAATGACTGGCACCAGTAGGGACTGCGTGCCGTGATGCCATGGGCAGTTAGTGGATAGTCCAGTGGGGTGGGCCACTATGCCGCTAATCAGTTAAGGGCACATTAAAGCTTCGAGTGAGGCCAGCGAGGTTAAAGACGTGCAGTACAAGCGTGTCGCGGACTATATAGTGGCGATGCGAAAGGCCAAGATTTTGGCTGTTTGTCTCGTGTGGTAATCCTGAAAGCGTCACACGGACACCTATTCCTACAGGTAATGTAAAAGTTGCATAAGCTCAGAAGTAGCTTGCATTGTCGACAAGTGGACGGACAATCGACTCAAGCGCTAATTGCTTTAGAAGGCGAGGTGGAAATCTACGTCGAATGGTGTTCAGCGCCAAGTTATAGTGAGTGAACAGGTGCAGCGTAGCAATAGCGACCCCCGACCCCCGAACGAAAACATGGGAGAAACATTGCGGACACATCACGTTACATAAAGGCTCTAAATGAGTTGCCCGAGTTCTAACTTGAAACCAAAGTCGGATATACATATGTCACAGAGGAAAGGCCCTTGCTGTTTAGTCGTCCGTTAGGACATGGTAGTCAAGATATGATTTCGGGGAAAGGCGATATGGCAAGCGTCGCGGGCCAATGCGATGGCCGCCGTGTATTTTTGAGATGGTGCCCCTGGGATAGACGCTGGAAATGGTTACACTCGAAGCCCGTCTTCTACTGCGAGCGTGGACTTCCTCTCTCCCTCAAAGGCAGAGAATGGGGTGTATTTTATGAGCGTCGTAGAGAAAGGGAGTAAAATAAACGGTCTCCAAGAGCTGATTTTACTTTGATTCTTTTGCAAGTCCATAGGAGGTGCAGAGACAGTTAGATGCATCCATCAATGGAGTGAGGAGGGTAGCGACGGCGGTTGAACTGAAGACCGAGGCAAGGATTGGAGATTACGGGGACATGAGAGTTGGCTAACGCGATGGCGTGGAAAAGGGCGAAAGATATCGCGAAGCAAAGCCAGATGGCCGGAGCGAGTGGAGGTCTGCGTGGCAACACAAGTATGGAACGAAGTGGCCGGGATAATTTAATGTGAGAGAGAAGAAGTCGGGAAGGGGAGCGTTTTAGGGAGAGACCAGGACGTACGTCGACAGGGGAGTCTTCGGAAACTAGGATAAGGACCTTTTGTGGCTTGGTGATCTTGTATTTTATATCTTGTATTTTATATCTTGTATTCTATCTGAGAGTCTGAGAAAGTACTGCAAAGTCCCGACTATCTGAGAGGGTCAGAGAGAGTCGGTGCAAAGTCCCGACTCTCTCAACGCCATGCGGTACCGGTGGGGATGGAAATTTTATGGGCGAGGGACTCGAACACAGCTGTAGTGCGGGCGCTTGGAGCGCCAAGGGTGTCGAACGCAAGAGGAACGAAGTGCCAGTCCAGAAGGGGGAGGCGGCGCTCCCCCTTCTGGCAGATAATGGAGGAGATGACAACCTCTCCAACTTTCTGATAAATATCACTGGCGTTACCTTGTTCATGCTAGATTATTACTGGTCAGAGATAGGAGACGGTTGGCAAGAGGATGAGAGGGAAGTGTGGTTTAAAATATCCAAAAAACACGATTCTTTGTGCAGGCAAAAGCACGATTATTTTGATAGTTTATTAACAAGCACTTTTACTCGTGGCATCAAGTAATTGCACAAGGAACTGTCTCCATAGCTCAGCTGGTTAGAGCGCGGGACTGTTAATCTCGAGGCCGTGGGTTCAAGCCCCACTGGGGACTTGTATTTTTGATTGACACGAAATTTTTGCCTCATGGCATAAGTTGAAGCGAGGGGATATGGTGGAGCTGCAAGGAATAGGCAACAAGCACCGCAACATACCTGTGAAACAGAAATACTGTTTCACATGTTACGGTGCTTGTTGCGGCAGAGCTTGCTACGTACAGGTATAGGAAACACTGTTGTTGTGCTTTACGGAGGTAGACAGCAAGACTTTTTTTCGCCAAAAGGTATCAGAGCTCAGACTGTGCCCACTAGGGGTAGTGCTCATAACCCTCTCACGCGGTTTGCTACCATGAATGCCAGTACGGAGTCAGGTCAATGTACAATGACATCTTAGCATACCCAAGAATTGAACTACTTTTTGGATCTGCGGCTGCGCGGGGTTTTGTCACTGCAGAATATCAGCTTCAAATTGTGCGGCCTGTAAACTCATCTTTTGAAACCAAAGCGCAACAGCATGTTTGCCATACTGTACTTATTTTGGTTTAGAGTGTCCATTTCAATGCAAGAAGGAATAAATCTCTGCGCAATATTAACTTCGAGAATTGTTCCTTCTTCCCCATCCTTACGCACAGGTTAACATCAACTGAAACCATTGGGAGTATGTGGCAGCATTTAGCTGTTCAATCGTCATTGAACTGCTTTGTACTACTCAATCCTGTCCTCCCGCATCAAATTCCAGAGTATCTGTGACGTTTATTTCCATTCTATGGCCATTATATACAACTTCCGATAACAACTTGTTATTCTGGAACTCGCATTCATGCCATCGAGTAAAATCGTTCCATGTCCCTCTTTGTCTGAGGCAAGAAGCGAAGTACTATCTCACAGGCCAGTTCATTGGGAAACTCCTACAATAAAGATGTGTTCTGAAAATTCTTATGCTCTTTGACATAGCGAAGGAGCAGATTTTTTTTTCTAAGATACCGCGCACATTTCTGGTTTGCTTCTTTAAGTGAGGTGCAAACACTTTTCGAGATGCACTGGGAAGGAAAAAATGGATTGCGCTTCGCGACAAGATAGAGATGCGAAGCTCTCCAGCAGACAAAAAGCACGCGACAGGGGACATCCGCCAACGGACCTTCACAACAGGGCGTCGGAGCCTCGAGATTTCTACTTCCAATATATATCGCTCTTTCATTGCGGCAGATTGTCAACATTGAATTCCACTTAACCGGTAATACTCTCTATCTGCCTCGCAGAATCCCCGTCGATGGTGCACAGATGTGCAGTATTGTGGGGTTCAATGCGTGTCAGAGACATCTTTTAACATGTTTCGCAGGAGTTTAGAAGCATTCATGTAAATGTAGCTCCCGTTTAATCGTTCACATTTCGGTCGAGTACATATGAGTAGAACATATCCGAAGAAATACGACAACGTATTCAGGTACTGTAGTGGAATTCGAGGGAATCCGTCGGTAACAATCAGGCGAGGTACAATGAGCCCATCACACTTTGAGGAACATGTGACCATTGCTGGAATCCAATATGGTCTTGAATCGTTTCAATTGTTTGACATGTCAGTCTAGGAGACTCGACTGCACTACATAGCAAAGTGAAGGTATACTCCCGCGCTGATACGAGAGGCTCTAAGGGAACATAAAAGAACGGACGAGGATATACATCCCAAGTGACATGCCGAGAGTCCAGCAGTGGAAAGTCTTTCCATTAGACTAAAAGATGTATCGCTATTACACAGAGGGTAACTACAGACTGAGGCACGGGGCATTGTTATTCTTGTGATTATTGCGCCCCACGGGCGGGAAAGAAGGAGTTAAACCTTGGCCTTGACACCGTATCTCATCAACACCCAATAATAGAACCACTTCATTCAATGTCTTATTCTTTGTCTTTACTGCAGAGGCACATGTTACGAACAGTCCACTCCAAACACTTATAAGATGCCGTCTGTCACGAAAGGGAACAGATGCGAAGCCAAAAAGCCCACCTCCTTCCCAGAACACTGGTGCAACCTGCCATGCAAGGAGTCTCATACGTCCTGTAACTCTGCTCAGATTTTCCTACTGACCGAGAACAAGAACGCGCCAATAAAGCTCGCTTGTTTCTAAAACTAAGGACACGGAGCAATGTCCGTGACTGATTGCCCATGATGAGGTACAAAAGAAACCATGGACGCGACTTCCTTCTTTCTAAAGTCGAATGAGGGAAAGGTTTCGAACATCGTAACTCACACTACGGCGTACTAAATTGTCGCACCGTGCATTGTGAAATACTGTATATCCTTCCTGGATCTCGGCGTTGACACATGGGTCTGTGGGAAATCCCTTTTCTCTCTGACAGGAACGAGCCTTCTGCTAAATTCTGAAATCTTGTGTGCGAAAATCATAAACTAGTAACGTTACTGTACCCGTATTTTACTAGAATGTTGACTTCACAGGCAGCCGTCACTGAGTAGCACGCACAGTGAGACCCAGAAACGCAGTTTCCATATTAGTGGACCTGCAGTCGAGGCACTTATCTACGGAATGTGATTGAAGAGCATCTGTTCGTGGATTAGGGGGCGTAGGTCTTGAAGTGGCGTGGTATTGAGGGTTAGTTAGGCAGCGGTACTACGGTATACAGTATCCCTCATCCTTTAGTCGTTCTATGTGAAGAGCGAGGACGCGTTGACGGCCCCTCCAGGTTTCAGTGGCTGGCTCCTGCTCATTCGGCATTGAGAAGCACACGTCGTGCGCAACCAGGACAGAGTACCCTAGGGTACCGTACAGTAGTAGTCCACGATTGTTGATATTGTCGCGCGTACAATACGTAAAAGTTGTCCACCGGTTGCGAGGGCTCACACTGGCCCGCTGTTGTAAATCTGCTCCACAGCTGCCCTTCGATTTACATATCGTGTAGAAGTGCAATAGACCTTTCAGGGAAATAGAGGAGGGCAGGTAAAATACCCAATCACATGCTGATCAGACAATCCTCGATGACATATGGCCCATTGAAGGCACTCTGGAATTCACTCTTACGTAAATTTAGATTGGTGCTCTGCGGTATCCAGAGAGGATTTTCTACGCGGAGAAAAGGGATATTTGAGGACGTGTGCAAGACAGCGACTGCTCTGGGGAGTGGGCCTGTGCGCGGGGTAAGACAGTGAGGTTCGTTGTGTCATATATGTTTTTCAATAAAAATAGGGCAGAAAAATTACGGATTTGGACAAAAAGAAGACGGGGAGCGTGTGATGTCACGCGCGGTTCAGTTCACAGGTTGGGTAGTGCAAAACCATTGACTTATATAGAAACTTATCCATAATTACTGGAAAAATGGCTTTCTTGTGTCATTCCAGACGGTCAGACTCTGATCGGGATTAGAATCGGGATTAGAATCGAGGTAGGAGGCACCGAAAATCGATATTTCATGGCCTGTCGCTAATCGTTGTTGACTTGAAGGATCAACTCGTTGGGGCCTTGTTGAGATAGTTGATGGCAAGGTTCCAATCCATCGCGTCGTGTGAATGATTTAGTATTGTCCATTGTAACGCAGGCACATGCCGTCGAGCCCCACCCATTAACATTACATCAAGCCTTGTAAAGTAGCGGAGCGACAGCAGTGCTCTGCGTTGCCATCCCTCTTCGTGGCAGTAAAATTGGCTGTGCCTTCGTCGCACTCTTGCCGCTGCTGCGCAGGCAAAAAGTAAGTACTGTATGTTATTGTTACACAAGCTACGAAGGGCCATCGTACTTCTAGCTAGTTGTTCCGTTCTACTCCCACCTTTTCCCACCCATCGTCCTCATTTTCTCTCACTTAACTAACTCTTGCGTCCTTTTCTCTCCCAACTATGGGCCATTCCTCATCACGTGGTCTGAATCCTAGGACGATTCTGCGCAAACGCAGCGAGCCTATGCAGTATACGCCTCCGAAGACTGCCAAACCGACGTCCAACTCAGAGACTGGCTCCAAGCCTAGCTCGGAGTCTACCTCCAAATCCAGGTCGGAGCCCACCTCCAAACCCAGGTCGGAGCCCACCTCCAAACCCAGGTCGGAGCCCACCTCCAAACCCAGGTCGGAGCCTACCTCCAAACCCAAGTCAGGGCCTACCGCTCAACGTAGCTCAGAATCCGAAAAGAAGCCGAGTCCAAGCAAAAGCTCACAGCCTTCCACCGACATGGATCGACCTACCCTAATCAGGAAGAAGAGCCAGCATGACGTCAAGGGTGAGTTTTATCGCTGCGATTACCTCTGTGATACTCTTTCTGTTGTTGTCATCGGCGCGTCTGGTGATCTCGCGAAGAAAAAGACATACCCGTCCCTCTTCGCGCTCTTCCGTTCTTCTTATCTTCCGGAGCACGTACAAATTGTGGGCTATGCTCGTTCCCAAAAGACAGATAAGGACTTCCGCGCCACTCTCCGCGACTATCTCGCAGCCAAATGCGATGACGACGAGGTTATTGATGCCTTCCTGAAAAAGTGCTTCTACCGCTCCGGAGGATACGATGATGAAACGGCGATCGAGAAGGTCGCCATGGAGATGGCAGGAATGGAGCAAGTATCTGGCCATGAGGTCGCCAATCGTCTATTTTATTTCGCTATTCCCCCGTCTCTATTCACCAAGGTCGCTGGGGCTCTCAAAGCGGCCGCCACGAACCACAATGGTTGGTCTCGCTTCATTGTGGAGAAGCCATTTGGCAGTGATCTCGAATCCTTTGAGACCCTCCATGAGAGCCTTTCAGACATGCTCGAGGAGAAAGAGACCTATCGTATTGACCATTACATTGGGAAAGAAGCCGTCCAAAATCTGTTGGTGATGCGATTTGCGAATTCCATTTTTGAACCACTTTGGAATCGCAATCACATCGCCTCTGTTGTGATCTCTTTCAAAGAGGACTTCGGCACCAAGGGGAGAGGAGGCTACTTTGACAAGAGCGGAATTATTCGCGATGTAATGCAGAATCACCTAATGCAAGTGCTCACTATGTTTGCAATGGAAGCCCCTGCCCGGCAGAGTGGTGACTACATCCGCAACGAGAAGGTCAAGGTTCTGCAGGCCATCCCACCAATTCGCATAGAGGACTGCATTACTGGGCAGTACATTTCCGATGATGAGGGCATTGAACAGGCCTACATCGATGATGACGGTGTGCCTGATGACTCAAAGACTCCGACATTTGCGGCTTTGGTGATGTACATCAACAATCCTCGCTGGGATGGAGTACCGTTCATTATGAGGGCTGGCAAAGCACTGAACGAGCGCAAATCGGAAGTGCGTATTCAATTCAAGAGGGCACCGGGATCTTCGCTATTGTTCCCTGACACAGGAAATGGGTCTACATTGTCGAGAAACGAGCTCGTGATGCGTCTGCAGCCGAACGAAGCAGTTTACATGAAGATGAACATCAAGTCGCCGGGTCTAGCAGGAGACCCCGTGATGTCTGAGCTGGATTTGTCCTACAAGACGCGGTTCCCGGACAAGTTTTCCGATCTACCGGACGCGTACACCAGACTCATGCTTCAAGTCTTGCGAGGGGATTCATCAGCGTTTGTGAGAGATGATGAACTTAGGGAGGCCTGGAAGATCTTCACGCCGCTATTGCACGCCATTGACGATGGGAAGATTGAACCCATCAAATACAAGGCGTTCAGCCGTGGTCCAGCCGAGTTTGACGAGATGGCAGAGAGGCATGGATATGTGTACAGTGGGGAGGCTTATGATTGGAATGGTACTGCGTAGGTCCTACTGGCATGCTGCGCATATCTTGATTTGATAAACCTCAACTGCGATTAAACTGCGGCTTTCAATCCAAGTAAATAAATTGCCGTACAGTAACAGTTCGCGCTGCAGTCTGTTGTCCAGTGTCAAATTTATTTGGCCACGTGTAAATTTGCCCGTCCAGGTGGGACTTGCTCAGGAGGCGAAAGGAGTCCGCATGCTCACGTTCGACGCTGCCCGACGCACTTGAGTACTGCTAGCGCTCGTCATCTTCCTTCTCCGCCTCTTCGCCGAACTTATTTAGGAGTAAAATGCCCTCGGCATGCGACTATCAAAAAAAAAATGAGCCAGCTCGAGGGATGCGGCCGGCGCAGATCAAACTGTGTCTATGTAGCCGCAGTCGTTTGAGTACACGTGTATACGTGGAAACGCATACGTGTACATGCACTCGCGGATGATGAACATGACCCATGCACGCGCGGGCGATGAACATAATGATCCAGTTCATCGAGCACGAGCAGCGTCTCCAGCCTCACGGCAGGGACGGCCATGCCTTACAAAGGTACTGCAGGCGTCCACTTTGGCTCGTCGTTCATGCGGACAGACGCCACGGCCGCGCTGCCCGTGCCCGGGACGTCGATAAGGTGTGCGGCTGCGGAACATCTCACGCGGCTCGCAGCCGTCCCTAGAAATGCTCTGTTGAACGGAGGATTCCCAGCCCCACCGACGATGCTCCTCTCCATGTCGAACCAGGACCCGATAGATCCGAACAGAACGTCTCCGGCATCGGCACTGCAAAAAGCGTTCATAACTCCAGATTCATTTATCCCATCTGCAAATAGCTCGACGTTAGTACCGGTAGCAATTCGAACCATCGCGTAGAAGCTCCAATGCACTGTATACGCATTCGAATCGTCATTACAAACTCGCAGCTTGCTCTGCAGGAACGGTTTCACGGCACTAGCAAAGTCCTTGGTCTCAGCTTGCGCCTCCGTTGATCGACAATACCGCCAGCGCAGCCGATGCAGTATGCTCACCGGAAGGCACCCACGTCACCTCGGACCAACTCCAACATCATTTATATGTACTTCAACGTGCAAAACCATCCGTAAGGGCTTGCCGTGTGGCCGTACAGCTTCGATCTTCAGACCAGAGAAATCTGCACTCGTGTCGTCAGAAAATGTCTCATGCGCTACTCTCCGCAACCACGCCGTTGACATGTCCTCAGAAGGAGTCCATTCGTCCGCCATACCGAGTCTGAGAGCGTGTTGACGCCGGATGCGGCCGGCGCAAGGCGAAACGTCTCGCACTTCCTCCTTGTCCGCGCTCGTGTTAGAAATCCCTGTATCTCAGGCCAACGACCACCGATTCCGAAGGTGTTTGACTTCCGAGGTCCCTCAGGATATCCCTTGTCCCAAACACGCCAACGAAATCCGCATACGCCCCTATTTTTCTGCCACGGACAGTCAACGGTACGTCGTCCGTGAACAGGACGGCGGGGACAGAGGAACTTGAAAACGAAGGTGCATGGCTGGACGCCCTAGTTCAATTGAAAATATTAGGGCACTGTGGCCAATCACAGTGCCTATGCATATAAAACCACCGAAACGCAGCACCGAACAACAGACTGGCTAGCGGCTTATTTCTCAGAGCTAAGCGCGGGATGCACTGTACACAGCAAGCCGTTTCGATGGCTCCTTTGCCGCAGACGTCATGCAGTATTGGTTCGAAGGAAGCCGTATTGTGCTCATGTGAGCAGTGAACAGCTGAAAACACTCGCTGTACGCACAAAGTGTAGTCATGTCTTCCTAACAGTCGTGTTTATCTCCTGACGCGTTCTCCGAGAAATTTACGTAGGGGGTGTATATCTGGTCCGGTTGGCATCCGCACATCTGCTGCCAGGACTCGTGGACATCCGTCTCTGTGATTTGTTGCAGACTGGTTCATAGCATGCTAATACATCAAAAGCCGCACCTGTCACCCTAAGATTCACAAATGGTCCTAAAGGGAAATGTGTCCGAGACAGGACAGGACAGCGTTGACATTCTTTGCAGGAATATGATACTGTACCAAGGGTACTGTATATGATATGCAGGACCCGTTGTTGAGAGTGGATGATTGCTGTACACTTCATGCACGCGCAAACGTGTCGATGTGTCCACGTTGTCGAATACTGTACTGCCACATTCCTGTCGTAACAGGGGCGCCCTGGCTGGCGGATCCTTGCTAAAAACCCAATTTGTATTGACCAATTCAGAATCAACAGGTGGAAGATAGAGCCAATAAGGCGAGGTGAATCGGAAAGATCCAATCGAGCTCCGGAGATATTTCACAGAATCCTATAAAAAGTCCTAAAAAACAACATTGTGACAATACCTGGATTTGCACCACACGAATGGATGTGAACCTCCATAGTAAGCGCCTGCCTCCCACACGTTGCGAAGCACCTCATTTCCAACCTTCGGTAACTTTGGCCTTCTTCACTGCGCTCTCCCCCCCGCCCCCTACACCTGCCCTTTTCTACTCTCCATCGCCTCGTCATCGACAACTCCCCACTACCTCCCTCCTCGCACTAACGTTTTGTCTATTTACTACCCTCAAACACCAACATGGCATTCGTAAGCTCCTCGGTTCGTGCTTTCAACGTCAGTGCCGTTAACAAGGCCAAGCTGACTTGCGTCCGTGGCGGTGCCTGCCGCATCTCGACTGTCGCCGCCAAGCGCGCTGTAATCGCTCGGCGCGCTACTGAGACGCGCTGCGCCGCGTGGGAGGGAAAGTATCCGCCTTCAGACGTTCTTGGTATTGGCAAGGATGTGCCATCATCGCTGTTCATTCTCAGCTCTGTCATCGCCCTCCTTCTTGGGTGCTACTCTGTATACATGAGCAATCTTCTTCACCCGCTGTCTCCGGAAAGCGTGAACCCGCAATTCATCGTTGGAAGCCTGCTGACTCCCATCTCTTGGGGACTGTAAGTTGCGAATTATCTTCTGCGTTTGAGGTTGAAGATGCGAAATGTTTACTAACGAATGTGTCATGTCTGTATCCTTTTTCGCGGCGATGAACGGATACTTTATTTTCGTACACAGTCATGTGGCAGGGTGGATCCAGAGGGAGAACGGCAAGTGAGTTTGCAAAACGCTTGCAGCTACCACGAGGATGTATTAGTTTGTCATTTCTTCAATAAACCAGGCATAGAAAGCCCAGGACAGCGGCTGCTCAAGTTGCTTGTGAGCCGCTAATATTTTGTGCCATGATTATAGAGCAGTGATTGCAATTACGGGTTAGCCACAATGGATTTTGTAGTGTGCACAGGGAGACTTGGTTTGTCGAATGCCCATGAATTGCGTACTGTTTCTTGTAGCAACCAGCTTGCCAGAAGCTTCCCCATTGTACAACGGCTCCAGCACGTGGCTTGCATGTGCACTGCATGCTGTAGTTTATCATGGCGGTTGCGTCCGGTCATATGATGGCCCATGGCTTCGAACAGCAGCTGGTTGTTCAGATTCCGGAGTACTAAGGAGGTCAATGCGTCGGCTAGCCATTTTTTGTTCCGGTCCTGTACTTTGGTAGCGTAGCCATCTCTATCGCGTGGGCCTGGAACCACGTGGGGCCGGTGTCTAGCAGAGTGAGCGATGAATAGAGAATAGCCTTCACAATGTTGTGGCGAGTACTGTAGAGGTTGTCGGCCAAGAGTGCGGGCCTAAGATGGGGTGTGAGAGCGCCCGACTAGAGCGCGTGGCCTTGTTTGGCAGGTGCTGCCCGTGTTGGAATTCGTAATGTAAGTCAATGGTGTAGGGTCAGGGTGATTACGGGGGGATTACTGTACACTGTACTGTAATGCAAACCATCCTGTACAGTGTACAGGATGGTTTGCATTACAGTACTGCACAATCTTGGAACGTATTTTCGGACAAGTGTCCTGGAACACTGCCAGATTGACTAATCATTGCCATGGCCGATTATATTTGAAATTTCGCGATCCTTTCCGCCATAAATCAGTTTGAATCACAGTCTGCGTCATGCCACCCCAATCCACCACACCGTCCGCAAAACACGCCCCACCCCGTCAATTTGCGCCAAACAGCTCGTTACCATCTTTTCTGCCCACAGCTACAGTATCAAGCCAGCCCGCCCCAGCAGGCGTCTGCGTCAAAACCGTTCTGTCTGCGCCCGCCGCCGCTGCCACTTCATATCGTGTACATAGCTCCACTCCGCCGCGAAGACAATATGGTCCTCACGAGGCGGCAGTCTGCAGCTGCTGCCCAGCCACAAGAGCAAACCATGACCGAGAACACCTCCACCACCTCCTCGGAGCCCGTCCCCGTTGCTACCAATGGCCCGACTGAAATTGCACCGGCCGCCCCGAAGAAGAAGAGCGACTTCCTCGCTCGATTTTTCTCGGGTATTGCTCTGAGCTTCGGCTTCTTCGCGGCTATTCGTGGTGGGCATGTGCTTGTCTTTCTAGCAGTGATTCTCATGGAGATCGGTATGTTTCATGAGATTCTCAGATTAGGGTTGCCAGTCGCACGAAAGGGGAAGATTCCGCTCTGGAGAACTATTGGATGGTACTTTTTCGCCGCTTTGCTGTGGTTGTTTTATGGAAAGCCTGTGCTGAGTCACTTTCAAGATCAGGGTTTGGCGTTTACGCGCCTTCCGTTCTTTGAGTACGCTCTCCGACACCATACCTTTATTGCTTTCATGATGTATTGCGCAGGCTTCGTTGGCTTTGTCCTCTCGCTGAAGCAGGATCTATATCACCTCCAATTCACATTTTTCGGTCGTGCACTTGTCGCACTTATTCTCGTCGTCGTCCAGGCCCATTTCATGATTCTCAACGTCACGCAAGGTCTAATCTGGTTTGCATTGCCGTGTTGGCTCATCATTTGTAACGATTCTTTCGGCTACTTTTGCGGTCGTCTCTTCGGCCGCCACTCCTTGACCGTGCTGTCTCCGAAGAAGACATGGGAAGGGTACATTGGGGCTGGCATCTTCACCATGATCACTGCCTTTTTTCTGTCCGGTGCGCTGTCTTCCTATCCCTCACTCGTCTGCCCTAAGTACGACTACGATGATTGTACTATACTTTGCCCACCTATTTCATGCGATCCACTTCCTACTGTCTTCAATCAAGTTCAGCGGACTATTGAGATCATCCCTGGTCTAACACAACCCTTTACAGTCTCATACCGCCCAGTTCAGCTGCACGCCATTGCCTTGGGCTTATTCGCGGCTTCTATCGCTCCATTCGGAGGGTTTTTCGCATCAGGGGCGAAGCGAGCGTTTGGCGTCAAAGACTTCGGCGGTTTACTCCCTGGACATGGTGGCGTCACCGACCGAGTAGATTGCCAGTTGATGATGGCTGTTTTCACGTATGTGTACCTCATCAATTTCGTTCAGGTGAACTTTGTCGGCTCGCCAGATGTTGGTAAGCTAATGAGCTTAGTGTCAGAGCTCAGCTCGGGAGAGCAGGTTGAACTCTTAACTGAGATATACACACGGTTGAGACGGCGGGGATTGGATCATATCGTATTAAGCATAGGAAATTCTACCACGATTGCCGGCTAGAAAGAAAAATCCATACTTTTAGTCATTGGGGGCATGTGTGTTCTGCATCGGAAGCAATGTGTTGCTCGTGAGTGACGCGACATGTGCGAAGTATTTATATCAAAACGTCTCGTCTTTCTGCTCTTACACCAGTTTCGTACATTAGCCACAGATATTGCTCATTTTCGCCTAGCAACGCTCCCGCATTGGCAGGCATCCTGTAGAGGTACCGCCAAGTGAGTCCAGCCATAACTGCACTCAGTGCTGCTTTTGTTATACACGGGTCTTGCGCCGCTCTTGGGTTCCGACCGAATAAGTGTGTGTCAGTGTCGAAGCCGACGCTGCTTGGCCATGGCTAGTAGAGGTATACCTCTTAGGCCATACTTCACGTGTGTTCGTCGACTCGGAGAAGATGTCGACTCTACTCAAATACAATTCAAGAGATGGGCTGCGCGAACTGCCGCTTGTGTGATCGCTTGTCCGATGGTGACAGTTATTTTAGTTGTGAATTGTTCTACTTGAAATGATGTTGTCCTAACGGGGTACGGTACTTAAAGCAACAATAACCGGGTATTCATAGCATGTCAAAGCGCGACTCAATTTCATTTTCTCATTGAGACAGTCTACACCTGGTTGCTCGAAAACTCTCTGAGTGGAAACCATTAGGGAAGCTCGTGAGATCCATATCGTATCATCTCAGCATTCGACGAGCACGAAGAGTTCTACGCCCACGACGAGCAGGTTGCTGCCCAGTATTCGGGGCGGCACCAATATTAAATGCTCCTCCTGGGGGGGCCCCGCTCGCACCATTCGAGCCGAACGAAAAGGAAGGAGCACTTGGTCCTGAGCTGCTCGACGGCGCAATACTGTTTCCAGTTTGTAAAATGGACTGCCCAAAAGATGGTCCAAAGCCACTTGCAGTCCCCCCTTGTCCAGTCACAGATGCCGCAAAACCAAACGTCGGAGCCGCAAAGCTTGGCTGACTGGTTGAGGACCCAGGCGGCACACCAAAGACAGCGCCACCCCCGGGAAGCGCTGCTGCTGGAGCACCAAATTGAACAGACGCACCCGCCTGCGCCCCTGTGGCACCAAACGCTCCTAGACCTCCTGAGCCAAACGTCGCACCCTTCGTAGACCCGAACGACACTCCACTAGCATCGCCGAAGGCTGCGCCGCTACTGCCCTGCAACGCCCCGCCGCTCGCAGCAGCAAATGCTCCGGGATTTCCTGCACTGAACGGCCCGCTACTTGCTGTTGGAAACGTACCAACACTTGCGGCGCCAAATGCATTACCGCTCGATGCACCAAATGCACCACCGCTCGAAGCTCCAAACGCCCCACCACTCGATGCCCCAAACGCACTACCGCTCATAGCACTGAAAGCCCCCCCGCTGGCACCGAAGGCCTCGCTTCTTTTAGCACCGAATGATGCCGTGCTTGCTGTTCCAATCGCCGCACTGCTCTCGGTGCCGAACTTCACGCCATCAGTGATTCCTAATGCACCACTGCTCGCAGCGTTGCCAGTTCCGTCTGTTCTCAACCTGAAGGGGGCACTGCCAGCTGAGCCGAAAGCTCCGCTGTTCAGAGCTGGATCAGCACCACTAGCGCTGGCTTGTGATGAACCAGGGAGCGACGTCGTCTTATGGCCTATCCCTGCCAACCCTTGGAAGGTGGACCCGAATGAGGGTGCTTCTCTGATATCCGCTCCAGAGGCATTTACAGCAAACCCAGAGCCACTTGTTGCTGCGTTTGCTTGAGATGATGGTGCTCCGAACACAAATTTTGCCGTGTTAGTCGCTGGAGGAAGTGAGGTAAACTGAGTTCCACCGAATGGGCCGGGATCTTTTTGAAGATCTTTCGCAGGACCGAACGCAAATCCCCCCGACGGTTGTCCACTAGAAGATACCGGACCGCTGGATGCTCCAGCGAGGTTACTAAAGCCACTAGACGGCGCCGGTTCATTGTCTGGGACTTTCGTATTCTGTTGGGTGGAAGGCGCTAGGCCTTCAGTTGTGTCTACAGCTTTTTTTCCAAAGAACGAAAAGGGGGCAGTCGGCAATGCTGAAGACGTTTTCAAAACATTGCCTGTCTCTTGGGTGCCTATTCCCACGAAGGCCTTCTGCTTTGCAAGCATGGCGCCAGCATCAAATCCTGAACCCGATGCCGTGACAGCGCCAACTCCTCCTTTGTCCTTTCCTGTCTGTGACGCAAAAACTGGAAGTGTGGTAGAAGCGATATTCGCATTCTCAAACACTTGTGCTTCAGAGTTAGTCCCTAACGGTACAACTCCAATGGGTTCCCCAGTCGTCTGCGACGGCGCCGCTTCAAAGGGACGGGTAGCTTGTTCCTCATCCTTTCGAGACTCTGTCCCTACAAACGGTGCATGCAATGCGCGATATCCCTGCCGCTTCTCAGCGGGTACCAAATCGAACTTGGGGTCAACGCCAAACCCAAAACTTGTTGGTTTCTTCGACGCTTTCTGAGCCGTTGTTTCAGATGCGATGACTGACGATGGGCGTGGCACGCTCAAGAAACTGGGGGTCTCTTTCATATTGTCTTGGGCGGCAAAACTAGGTGACTTGGCATTCGCTGGCGGATGTATCTCATCGTTGTTTCCAGACTTTGGTTTGGAACGGCTTTGCGTTTGGATATCATCTAGTTCCAGTGTTGGTGCGGTTTGTGCAAGCAATGATGCACTGGCAGTCGGTGCTACGGAAATCCCTGCTGTCTGCGCTTCTCCTGGTAGCGAATTGCTTCCTGTCTGGATACCGTGCTTCAGGTTCCCTGTGAATGGTTCATTGGCCTTCGCTCGGTCATCTCCGAGAGTGAATCGGGGAACAGAATCTGATTTTTCCTTCACGGGAATTCCAGCGATGGAGACGCTTGCAGACAAGTCATTCTTATCGCTACGTTCAGAAACATCAGCTGTAGCGACAGCCGGTAGCGAACCATGTGACGTGCTATCTCCAAAAAGAGATTGCTTGACGTCAGGCACGCCTTGAGTCTGGTCAAGTGACTTTGACGTACTTCCCAATTGGCCTTTCCCGCCCAAGGCCCCTCGTGGTGCATAACTATCACCAGATAGTACAAGTGCGGTTTGCGATGTTGGCTTTGATGGCACGATGTTAGATGATAACACAGGTCCAGAGCTATCGTTTGCTCCTGACTGCACTACACCGAGAGGTTTCATGTCCCCAAAAACGAATGGCTTTGCCTCACCAAATGCACTCCCTTCACCGGAAACTCTTGAAGGCAAGGGGATATCACTACTTCCCGCCACCGATGGTTTGTGAAGGAAACCGGCGTCTTCCATCTCGGCTGCAGTTGACAGCTTCGATTTTGGGCGTGGTACCGTCTCTATACCCTGGCGCTGTTCGGATAGTTTGAACACACCTGCCACCGCCCCAGATCCTCCACGGCCCCCGTGGAGAGCGTCCGAAGTCTGTGGAAAGCCCTCACGAGAGTCTGCGCTACTGCCGCCGCTAGCAACCTTCGGCATCGGAGGAAAAGCAACTGCTGGAAGGGAGAACCGATCCCCAGCGGGTCTGTCGGTTAGTCTCGCTGTCCCCTTTCCTGGCGCGACTTTCGCAACCCCAGCTCCAGACTCTTCTGACGCCGCCAGAGAAAACAAACGTTTGTTATGCTGCCTGCCATTATCAATATCGTTCTTCGCAGTGGACTTTAATTCCTTCAGTGCAGCGGCCGAGAGAGAGCTTGGTCGAGACCTTTTCTTCCCGCTCCCAAACACAACAGTTCTACGTCTTTTCGAGGTGGAAGGAGTCACCCGAAGACCCCGAGATAGTCTTGGTTTCCCATTGTCGTTGCCATCGTCAGTTCTAAGTCTCGCGGGTCCATGTGGTGTGCCCATGTGTTCCGGTGCATGCACTGCGTCCTGTGCACCCATGTCCACGGATCTACCCGACAGTTGGGGTGACCTTGTGAACTGCCCGTTAATTCGTGCCCTCTTCAGAGCAGACGGAGGCACGGGTGCAGGCGACCTTGTCCTTTTGGATGTAGAATGGGAGCGATTTTCATTTCGGACTTTCCTGATTTCCTCGAGGATTCGCAAACTCTTTGCTGAAAGAGGCGGGTTCGGTGACCTTTCGTTCTGTATACTTCTCCGCTGAACCCTCTGTGCTAGAAAGTTACTACGCTGTGCCATTGCATTCGACCTCGGCAAATTGGGAAGAAGCCCACCCGAATTCGTAGAAGCAGGTCTCCTGGCTCCGAAAGTTGGTAATCTCATGATCCTGCCAGATTGAACTGCCGACTGATTCATCGAGCGTCTTCTGGAAGATGCCACGCCTAACTTGCGGGTGCTTGTAAATCCCCGTAAATGACTCGGAAAGGTTTCTTCCGTCGAAAGGTGCGTGGACTCCCTGCGACGAGATCTATCGGGCCTTTTCCCAGGAGATGCGAATCCCGCAGGCGAATCTGGTTCTGGCGTACCATTCTTCATTTCGGCGTTGGTATCTCGGCTTCCGTATCGATTAAATGAACGAACGACATCACGCGGTGTTGTAAACTGAGAACCTGAGTACATCTCATCTTCCGCTGATGTAAAGCGTCCACCCTTTGCCCTGTTCAGTCCAAAGGCACCAATATCAGGAGGTGTCTCTGCTCCAGTAATTCGACCTGTCGGTTTTGCAGTTCGCTCGACGTCAAGAGTTGCCCTGTCAACACCGTTACGCGCACCAGGGCCACCGACAGCCCCAGAAAACCTATGCTGGAAAGGATCTCGACTGTCGAATTCCTTCGGTTTCGATCTACCTCCATTGCCATTCCCAAGCGCTGAACCGGTTGCGGAAACATTTCTTTCAGAGCTCATATCATGTCCCGCGCCGCCTTTGGCCGTTGTTGCGCCATCTGGGTTGACACTGGAATACCGGACCTCACCTTTCCATAAATCCAGTGGTGGCTGTGGTTGCGATGTCCGCAACACATCGGCCGCATGTCCAACTGTTGCAGAAAACGGTGCGGGATGACTCTTAAAGTCTACAGCAGTTCCAGACGCAGAAGGAAGCGCCGAAGAACTCATACCACCTATGGCGTTTGGAGGGGCAAGGAGAGCCTGTCGCGTCTGGAATCCTGATTTTCCCTCACCGCGAAGAGAGGGCGATGATTCCCGTGCTGTAGATATATTCGCACCCTGTAACTGAGACTCGACGTCTACATTAGACGGCCCTGGGGTCAATGAGGATCGAGGCACTGTTGCTGCAGTACCCGGGAACCCCTTCCTCGACAAAAGCGCAGCCGCCTTGACGTTTCTTTTCTCTGCACCGGCGGCATAGTTCTCATTCAAAGCCTTCAAGCAAGCTTCGTATTCGCCTTGACTCAAGCGCCGACTTCCATGAGCCAGATCACGAAAAACCGTTTCAGTGGCGACGTTTCTAGGCTCAAACTCTTTCACGCTGATGTTCCCGCTCCCGCGCGGGTCAGTACGCTCCTTCGGGTATCTAACGCCGTACATCCCGTTTGGACCTCCACGGAAGGTCTGTGGGAGGCAACAAGCCGAACGTGTAATGTTCATGTCGTATGCCGGACTCATCGGCATGTCGTACGGGGCGCCAACGCCAGTACTGGAAAGCGCGGGCAACCCAGCCGAGTTACCGGGGATGTCTACTCCTTGCATGGCTCTCGATGGGATATCTAAACGTAAATTGGGCTCCTGGTAGGATCGTGTATTTGGCTGGGAGCAAGACTCTTTCTTCATGTCCACGGAGCCCGACTTTCCGGCGAAACCACCTGGACCACCTTTCGCTGTGACACCTCCCGCAATTACTTTCGTAGCACACGGTGCACCGCCACCGGTATCTACACCGCTGGCATGGGCAACTGAGCCTCGTCGTGGGGTTCGGTTGACAATGGTTGTCGTGGTCACATGGCCTGCATTCTTCTTTACCGTACCAGGGCTACCCTGGGCGTCCAGAATCATGGACGTCGTAGTAGCTCGGTTTGTGTTGGGTGGAGTGACGGGCATAGTGCTGAGGGCCCGAGGATTGCCGTCCGAGTCCATGATGAGAGTGTCCTCATTCAAAAATCGGCGCTGGGAAACTTTTGCCAGGAGGCGGTCCCTGATGTCCTCCTTGGTGCCCGTTGCGGGAAGACCCACCTGCTTGCATAGAGCTTGTAGAGTGACTGTACTGGCATCTTCAAGGTTGGCGACAGAAACAAGGCCCGGCCTCGCAGCGATGGCACTTGTGGTTGCAGCGCTTGGCGCGGGTAAGCGGAGAGCTGGGGTATCCCTTGCTGTGGGAGACGACGGCTTATTGCTTTCGTTAGCACGCGAGGCCTGCGAGGGCCGCAGCGATATTGATTTGTCAGGCTGAATGGGGATTGGTGGCGGGGTATTGTTGGCATCTTTCGGCGGCTTGGATGTTTCCGCACCACGAGGTTCGGGTGCATCCGGCCGGCGACGACGGCGCGGTCGGAGGGAGTAGTGGCTGCTCGCGTCATCTGCTGGGGGTTGTTGGTTTGAAATGTTTGGATCAAGACCGAGGCGGCGCAGCATGACAGGTGTCTTTGCGATTTTTTGATCGACGCGAGTCTTGGGTAGGGGTGCAGCCGAGGCTTGGGGTTTGGGATGAGGGACTGGAGTGGGTTTGGGAGCAAGGGTAGGATCGGTTTTGAGAGTAATGGGCGGTGGCATGACGGGTTCGTCGAGAGTATCGCGGGGCGAGAGACTGATAGTGTCTGGCGGAACTGTCGGAGGGGGTTGGTTGCGGTTGTTGCGGTTGCCAAAGATGGCACGGAAAGCGGCGGAGAAACCTCGCTGCGCCATGACGGGGAAAAGTGTAGGAAGGACGAAGGGGCCGGGAGGATTTGGCAAAGAGCGGGGACGGTGGGGGCGGATTACAGATGCGGGGAGAACCGTTGTACGGGCGGTGGGGCGACTGCGGGAGACGCGGGGCCGGCTTACTAGGTTCGCTAACGGGGGTGGGGTGACACGTGGCTTTTGGAAGCGGAAACGGGCGGCGGACGGAGAGGTCGGCGGGGGAAATTTTACGTTTTTTTGAGTTTGAAATTATGCGTCTTGCGATTACGCCATGGCTGCGTTGAAATCCACTTGCTCCCAACGGCTCATGTCCATACGACTCCTGTTTTGGATCTTTCCCGCAGCCACCAGTTCAAATTCCTCCCGCACTGCTTCGAGCCCTGAGCCCTGATACTAAATCGTAACCTTCTGTGCAGTACACGTGTACAGGGCACCGCGCCGCTTCAGGTCGTTGCTTTGCGTAGCGAGATAACGGCAAAGTGTGAGACAGGGTCTGCTGACATCAGCAGCATTCGGATTGATACTGCACTGCTCCTCAGAGCTCAATCTATTGACGAAATTGGACGCGAAACCCCATAAAAGAAAGTCGGGACGGACGGGCACGCAATGCATCACAAAACTAGACCAATTCCACTCCATGGCTACATATCCCTGCGTCCCCACGTTGCACCATCTGCAGAGGACGAGTTGCCTCGATTCTGCACCCATGGATGTTTCTTACCGAACTAAGAAAGGTCCATGGGTCCTGCGTTGTCAGGGGGGTACTACAGTACACAGTCGCATCACGAATCAGGCGACGCCTTTTTCGTGAGATTCTCGAAATCTTGTATTTGTGCGGCTGGCGATACTGTGCGAAAAGATGTTCATACGTGTGCAAATGGTGCGACGCAGAGCGTCAGCCCTGAGTGCTTGCCCAAACTCTTGTCCAGATCAGATGCAAGCTTTACATTCGTTCCGGTCGGCCTCGCATTAATTCTGAATAGCGCCGTGACAAAAAAAAACAGCAATGCAAGCAAAGCATTTCTGCGCATTTCAACTTGCAGAGCTTATGTCGTTTACTGAAAATCTTTCTTATTTGAAAATGTGCCTGCAGGCTAAAAAATGAAAGAAGGCCGTAGAAGAAAAAAGCCAATCTTTCCGCCTTGAGAAGTACGTCTCTACAGCGGTTCTAGGAAAGAAGAAGATCTGTGGCAAATGATGACCATTATGAAAATTAAAACATAATTAGCGTTGTAGACTCAAATGGAGGGTACACAGCTCTTGCTTCTGTACGGAGTACTGTACTTCACAATAGTGCTCGATATACCATAAACAAAGGGTACAGTAATAAAAAAACCAACTTGCACGTTTCAGAATGGCACTTTGCCATTGGGTGTTCACAACTGGGGGAGGCGAAAGCACTTGCGAAGAGGGCAACCTTTGTGAATGGCACTCAGACATTGGGTGATACATCGTTAGGAGGGGATTGGCTGTGATTCCGCGCCCGTAGCGGGCTGGGAAACTGTTTGCCCTTACAAGCAGCAACCTGCATGCCGCCGCTTGCGACGCTGTCACCACCTCGTCAAGTAGAGGGCGGACGATAGAATAGAATCGTTCATTTGGGACCACAGTACGGGCCCCATTGTACCGAACTGTATACAAATCTCTGTGCGTTGGCGCTTCTGCTTCTCTGAGAAGGAAGGCATCAAACCCAATTGGACACTGCTCGCATGTTTATATAGACAAGAGATACCGAATCGCCAGTTGACCACCACTACTACCCTGCACTGCTCCTCGCATTGAGCCCGGGTCCGCTTTATATTGCCCGGCGGATAGCCATCCATCCTTTCTACTGCACCCCTCGCATTCAGCTAACACCACACCATCCCGTGCGTCCTCAATGGCGTCCTCAATGGCGTCCTCACCCCTTGACGGGAAAGCCGCCGTCGCCACAGACGATAATATCAACTCCAATGAACCCCTTCCAACGACAGACAGTGGCAACAGGTCCATCACATCTCGTATCAAGGCCATGATCAAGCCCGAAGCCTCGGACAATGAGAAAGACCGAGACAATTCTCTACCCCCCGTACCCGCTCGCCAGCTCTTCGCGTATTCCACCCCCAACGAGCGCTGGCTCATGGTCATCGCCTGCGTTGCTGCTGCCGCTCATGGAACCATTCTCCCTCTCTTCACAATCATATTTGGCAGTGTCATCGACGTTTTCGATGAAAACACTATAAGTGCCGAAGAGCTCAACACTCTCACGAGCGCAATTGGTAGCAAGGCCAAGTGGTTTCTCATTCTGGGAGCTGTCGCCTTCGTAGTCAGCCTCATTCAAGTAAGGTTTCAGCTCGTCTTCGCCCAGCGCGTTGGGAATCGACTTCGACGTCTATTTTTCGACTCACTCATGAGACAGGATTATGCTTGGTATGACCAAAACGACGGCGGCGAGCTCACTGCACGCGTCGCAAGTGATGTCAGTCTCATTGAAGGTGGTATTGGCGATAAGTTTTCCTCAGCTGTTCAATTCATGTCCATGTTCGTATCGGGTTTCATCATCGCTTTCGTGTATAGTTGGAAGCTCACGTTGGTTATCCTTGCCATTGCCCCGTTGCTCGCTATCAGTGGTGCCTTATTTGGAAAGCTTGCCGCTGATAGTACGAGCGAGAGTCTTGGCGCCTATGGTGCTGCTGGTGGTATTGCAAATGAGGTCCTCAACCTTATCCGAACTGTTACGGCGTTCAATGGACAAGAAACGGAGGCCAAGCGCTACGAAGTTCACTTGCAGCATGCGTATCGAGCAGGAATTATGAAGAGTGCTTTCAGCGGTGCCGCCCTCGGCTTCACCTACTTCGTTATATTTGCTACCTTCGCAGTTGCATTTTCATTCGGAGCAGGACAAGTCCGAAATGAATCTGTGAAGGCCGGTGATGTCATCGTCACCTTTTTCAGTGTCTTCGTTGCCACTATTTCAATCGGACAAGGTATGTCAAACAAATTGTCTCTCTTGTTTTTTTGTATTCCAAGAATAGCGATTGGAATCCTCTGCTTAGTTTCCTGATCTTAACATGCGTTGCGCCGATGCTGACCTTCTTGCTTTATGTACTTGCCCCATTTGATCATTGCTAATGACAGCTGCTCCCGCTTTTAATGCGTTTGCTATTGCTCGCGGTGCTGCACCACGTGTCTATGAAGTCATTCGTCGCCAGAGCATGATCGACCCTTTGAATGAAGATGAAGGTCGAATCCTCCCGAACGTTAGAGGTGATATTGAGTTTCGAGGGGTCAATTTCAATTACCCAACACGAAACCACGACGAAATGGAGGACAACAGTGCACGACCGAATGTGCTTTCTGACTTTGACTTGACGGTCAAGGCTGGCAGGAGCCAGGCTCTCGTCGGAAGCAGTGGCTGTGGAAAGAGCACAACCGTGCGCCTCATCGAACGATTCTACGATGTTAATGAAGGCCAAATTTTCTTGGATGGGGTTGACTTGCGCGACTTGAACGTCCGCTGGCTTCGCAGTCAGATCGGATACGTTGGCCAAATGCCTACTCTCTTCATGCTTTCCATTCGTGAGAATATTGCTCTTGGCGCTGCCATGGAAGTTGTGGATGCGGACAAGTCTGGCAGGACAGTGCTCAAGAGATCGACGGTCACCGAGGAAGCAATTGTGAAGGCCGCCAAGATGGCAAACGCGCATGATTTTATTATGAAACTACCGGAGCGGTACGATACGCTGCTTGGAGAACGTGGTGCTTTGTTGAGTGGCGGGCAGAAGCAGAGAATTTGCATTGCTCGGGCCCTTGTGCGGAACCCCAAAATTCTGCTGCTTGACGAATCTACAAGCGCACTAGATGCTCGGTCTGAACGCATTGTGCAAGATGCCCTGGAAGCTGCGTCTGAGGGTCGAACGACGATTACCATCGCTCATCGTCTGAGCACTGTGAAGAACGCCGACAGGATTTCCGTTATCGATGAAGGATTGGTCGCAGAAAGCGGCACCCATGACGAGCTCATTCGTGTCGAAGGTGGTGCATACAGGCGTCTTGTCGAGTACCAAAATGTCGAGGCGAAGAATAGAGGTCTATCTTCAGAAGCAGCTGAGATCGGGGAAGGCACAGGTGCCACAAAGGCGCAGACTGAGTCTATTTCCAAGACTGCTCATCTTCACGCGGCGGCCGAAGAAGAAGAGTTGTCTGCAACCGACAAGGGTGTTCTGAAACGAGCGTTCGCTATGAATATCAAGGAGCTACCGTTTATAATCTTGGGCATGATTGGTGGTGCTCTGGCTGGAGCATCCTTTCCAGCTTTGGCCATTACCTTTGCAAGTGTTCGTTCGTGCTTTATTTATTCTCTCATGGTCTTCATTATTGTTCACGAAAACATACCTGACCTTTTCTCTCTTCTGTTTAACTTGTTTTTTTTTTTTATTCCTTGTAGGTTATCGATGTCCTATCTGCAAAAGATAATGAAGCAGAAGTCCGAAAATGGTCTCTCCTCTTCGTTCTCCTCGGAGGAATTGCATTTATTGGATATTTCACGCAGCTGGCAATGTTAGGCATCTCTGGTGAGCGTCTTACGCGCAAGCTTCGTGGGTTGGCGTTTAGATCGCTGTTAAAGCAAGACATGGGCTTTTTCGACAAGAAGGAGAATTCAGTCGGTCAACTGACGAGCCGCCTGGCAACGGAAGCCACTCTCGTTAAAGGGATCACTGGTGATACGTTGGGCGCAACGGCCGTGGTGTGCGGGACTCTGTTGACTGGGTTTCTCGTCGCGTTTTTATCCTGCTGGCGAGTTGCGCTGGTTGTAACGGTTGTTTTCCCGTTCATGGCAATCTCTGAGGCTGCAAACGTGAAGATGATCTCTGGGTTTGACGCCGATTCCAACAAGAAGTTTGCCCAAGCTGGGGCTGTGGCGTCGGAGGCAGTTGATAACTATGACACCGTTACCGCGATTGGCGCTCAAGACGTGTTCATCGACAGGTACAATGACGAGCTGAAGGGGCCACTTCGAACTGGACAAAGGACGGCGCTTTCGTCTGGAGTCGCGTTTGGTGTTGCAGAGTTTCTGTCTCAAGCTCTATGGGCGATATCCTTTTGGGTAGGGTCCATTTTCGTACAGAATGGAAACTGTGAATTCGTCGGGTTGATGAAGGCGGTGAGTGGACTTTTATTTGCGGGCTCGGCCTTGGGCCAGGCTGCGATGTTTATGCCAGACTACGGGAAGTCCAAGGTCGCGGCAACAAACATTTTTCGTTTGTTAGACAGAAAGTCCGAGATCGACCCAACAAGCGAAGAAGGGAACAGCCGTGAGATCGTGGGAAGAGTGGCGGCTGATAAACTCGAATTCGAGTATCCGAGTCGAACGGACGTGCCTGTGCTACGAGGATTGTCGCTGGAGGTGGAAGACGGGCAAACTTTGGCACTGGTTGGCGAAAGCGGGTGCGGAAAGTCGACTATCGTATCACTGATCGAACGGATGTACGATGCGCGAAACGGGACACTCCTGATTGATGAGGTGGACATCAAGGAGTACGAAGTCAAGGGCCTACGGCAGCAAATGGGGATCGTGTCCCAGGAGCCGGACCTGTTCAACCGGACTGTGCGTGACAATATCGCATACGGTCTAAGCCACACGGACGGAACGCCTGTAACGGACTCTATGATTGAAGCAGCAGCCAAAGTAGCCAACGCACATGACTTTATCACGGAGCTGTCACAAGGATACGACACGATGGTTGGGGTCCGCGGGAGCAAGCTGTCCGGTGGGCAGCGACAGCGTGTGGCGATTGCGCGTAGTTTAGTGCGGGAGCCGAAGATCTTGCTGCTGGACGAGGCGACGAGCGCGCTGGACGCAGTGTCCGAGCGGGCTGTGCAGCAAGCGCTGGAGGAGGCCGGGAAGGGCAGGACGACTATTGCGATCGCGCATCGGTTATCGACGATCCAGGACGCTGACGTGATTGCAGTGGTGAAGAGGGGAAAGATTGTGGAACGTGGGACACATGAAGAGTTGTTAGAGAAGGGCGAGGTTTATGCTAAGTTGATTAAGAATCAGTTGTCGGCAGTCGAATGAGTGGGCGACTCCGAAAAACATAAATTGTGTACGCACAAATTTCCTTGTGTATGTGTGTCGTATTTTGTGCCTTGGCACGGAAATGCATGTGAACAAAAATTTGTGTAAGACACATTTAATGCCAATTCACCCTCAGTGAGGTGTCAGCACGCCGGCGGACGGATTGCGGTACCCCCTTCACGCCCTATCCTATGATACTGACGAAGGAGCCGCCGGCTTGGGGACAAATATCGGGTGCCGGCTCCTCGTCGGAGTCGGCAACATGAGCCATGTAGACGTTGGGCTGCGGGGTTGGACAGCGGCTGATACGACGGAGGGAAAGTGTGGAGGGAGGCCAGATCGAAATAGGAATGAGGTTGCCGAGGGGTGGGATGGGTTGATCGGACAGATCGCAGAGAAATATTTGAGCACATGGTATGATATAGGGTGGTATAGGTGGGTGCGGATGTGCGTTTGTGTCTGTGCACAAACAATTACATCGGGAGGGGAACGAAGAGCAAATCGGCGGTTTGTGTATGCACAAACACCTCCGACTCAATCAAAATCGGCGGATTTGCGCATACACAAAATGTGTTTTTATGTTTTTCGGAGTCGCCCAGTGACTGGTGTGCGGTATGTTAATGCGTTTAAGTAGGTAAATGGGCGACTCCTGAAATTCTAAAATCGCAAATTGTGTTGACCAAATCGGGATTTTGTGACACACAAACGGCGCGTTGTGCACACACAACGCGCCGTTTTCTCGGACGGGCGACCCCATGCTAGGTTAAATGTGAATCGCACAAATGTCAAAATGTGCGCGCGTACAATCCAAATTTACTGGGTCAAACCAGAAAACGCAAAAAGATGTTATTATTATTATTATTATGTGCATGCACAAAATGAGAGTGACCGCGGAAATAACATTTGATTATTGCGTGCACAAATTCTCGCTGCCCAAATAGCGCAAAACTAAGGGAATTATTGCAATGATTCGAAGTCGACACATGTCTGCAAACAACTCTTGGCTGCTGGCTGCAGACAGGTCCCGAGATCACGTCGACAACGAAAGCCTTTTCCATCGATCAGGATGACCATTCATATTCTCCTCCTCCTTATCTCAAGACGACGTCGGCTTGCTGTGGCAACTTTTCGTCAACAAATATCGATCCAAGCTCGCCGTCGCCGCGATCGGCGGATCACGAGACAAGCTCTACAGTATCCCAGAATGGCACCGTTTGCCATACTTTGCGGCTCTGGTTGCGACCAATCGCTCATTATTCTCACCGGTTTCGATTATCATTCCTTCCGTTACCTGTTGACTCTTTTTAAGCCTTTATGTGATGTGTACTCGCCGTACAGTGCGGATGGTTTTATTAGACGCATACCTGATAGACCGCGACGACGTAGAAGGCCGCGTTTAATGGACGCCTGCCAGTGTCTGGCTTTAACTTTAACATGGTACAGGACACGAGGTTCGGAAATGGTATTGTGTATGCTGTTCGGGGTGACCACGTCGGTTTGTTCCCTGTTTATTCGTTATGGACGCCGGTTGATTTTGCAAGCACTTGCGCAAAACATTAACGCAGCTGTAAGGTTGCCTTGCGACAGAGAAATTGCAGAATTCCAAGCGTCATTCGCTTCTAAACACTCCATGCTGACAGATGTCTATGCGGTTGCCGATGGCTTAATTATATACTTGGAACAGTCCGGAGATGCTATCATACAAAACATGTTCTATAATGGCGGGACACACGACCATTACGTCGGAAACGTTCTCGTGTTTGCGCCCACGGGCGTCATAATAGCTTGTGCTTTAAACGCCCCTGGCTCAATGCACGACTCTACTATTGCTGAATGGGGAAATGTGTACGGTAAACTCGAGAGTGTGTTCGATCGCAGTGGAGGGCGGCGTGTTGTCGATTCTGCATTTTGCAAGGGATTATACCCGTTCTTGATAAAGTCATCGCAAGACATTCCCGTGTCACACGACTTTGACGACGTGCTTTTCATAAGACAAGCTACTTCCGCCCATCAAGCTTCTGAGTGGGGTATGCGAGCCTTTCAAGGCTCTTTCCCACGTATCAAAGACAGACTGGTCTATGAAGAAAGGGGAGAACGGAAAGAAATTTTACACACTCTTGTGTTACTTTTTAACTTGCGTACACGGCTTGTAGGTATTAACCAGATATTGGGAACATATATGCCTCATCTCAGTGTTGAAGCTAACGAGTTTATGTTAGATCTACAGGAAAACAGTTAACAAAGAGTTACGTATATTCCACACGAGACTAAACGTCGTCATCATCAGAAAGTGCACCCCCCGGCCTCCCGCGTTTCCGAGACTCTTTGGCCATTAGAATCAGCATCATTTTCATAAATGACTCGTTGCTTTTACGATCCTCCTGCCGACGTGCCCTTTCCTCTGCACGATCCTCTTCTCGCCTAGCCCTCTCTTCTTCCCTGCGAGCTCGTCCCTCGGCACATTCAGCCTCCCTCCTATGCCGTTCTTCTTCCCTTCGCTCTCGGTCTTGGAGCATCGATAGCTTCAGAATTGCTAAAAGATCTTCCTCTTGCTGCCCTTGGCGTGGACGGCGATGTACGAGTGCTCGAACAGTCGCTGTGCCTGAGACAGGAACGGCAGGTTCTGGAAAGTCATTGCTACTATTACGCATGGCCTCATCATTTCTTGCTTCGTCCTCCTCGATCTCAGCGTCGTCTTCCTCGTCCGGAAACAAATGTGGCAGCTCGTTTGCGTCGCCCCCGGAGCCAAGGTCCGCTCTTTCTGTCATTTTACCCCTGATTTTCTTTGCCCATTTCACATCATTAAGTATCATAGGGTCGCCTGTTGGGATGCGTTTTCGGTGGAGAGAAGAAAAGTTACGTTTCAGAGAGTCCATTGTGCGGCGCTCACGCGGATATCTACTGCTATGTAGTGACGCGACATGGTCCCATTCGTCTTGGCATAGCGGTAAAAACTCTTCCAATATCTCCAGTAGACTTTCTACCTCCTGTAGACTAAACCCAGATCCCCTTCCTCCAACTGAGGCAGCACGTCTGCCTCTCCTTTCTGCGGAAGCTTGCGTGGCGGTACTAGGACGTCTTGGTCTAGTAGTGTGGCGAGGAGCCGACGGCAGTACATTCGGGGATGGATCAAAGCGAGAAAGACCGGGAGGAGTAGCAACTCTCGCGTTGTTGTGACGGACATGTGGTGCTGTAATGGAGGAGCCAGTAGGACCACGCACTATGTTTGATAAAACCGGGGGTAGAGGCGCTTCGATATCATGCTCGCGAGGTGAGGTCGGGGGGAGTACAGTAGCCGCTGTCGGGAGAGCGCTCAGGGAGTAATCAGATAAACGGCGAGAAGTCTGTTGTTGTTCTAGACGAGGAACGACAAATGTGCTGGGAGGAGGTTCCATATCGCTAAGGAGCGGCAATGGAGGGGAAGTGCACAGTCTTTAGTTCAAGCGGTGATCTTCGAAGATCTGAGTAATGAAGGATCAGTTGAGAAACTCAAGTCGCAAGATCCGATCTCGAACTGTTAATTTGATAAATGTGCACTGTACTATTTAACCTCGTACGGTGTGCAGCTCTGTACAAATTTGAGATTTGTGTGTGCACAATAGGCCAAAGCGATTGAATCCTGGGTCGTTTGTGTACACAAAAAATAATGTTTTGTGTTTTCAGGTTTGACCCACTGTACACAGAGAAAGCGTCGGCCGCCGCCCGACCGACGAGACTCGACATGTACATCCTACCGAGCATGGCTTTGAATGAGAAGTAGCAATAGCCATTTGGTCATTCATGGTTCTGACGGTGGCTGCTCGGTGAAAACACCATCATGATTGAGCTTAGCTCACAGCACACACTGTAGATAGAGCTCCGACGGCGTCATCGCCGGCGTCCAGTGCCGTGCTCGTTGTTAGGAACGACCCTGACACATCGTGCTCGTTGTTAGGAACGAGTTCAAAGCATGCGTACAGTAGGGGGACGTACATTATGTGCGCAAGCATTTCCGTGGTAAAACTCATTTTTTGTTCACAAAAAAGAAAAATATGACTCTGACACAAAAATAATTTCCGGAGGCGCCCAATTCCTACAGTATTAGTTTTTTTGTTTTGTTTGTTTTGACAGCATGAATGTGGTTTGCGCAAAAAGTAAAATAACTTCGAAACCAAAAACGCCAGTTTGAAAAGGGAACTACACCCGTTAACCATAATTAGTCCGGCCTGCACTACTTTCTAGGGTCCCAGCTGCCAGTGGTGAACATAAATTGGTGGAGGCCGCACTATTTCTGTACCCGCACTATTTAGGTACCCACGCAAATTAGTGCAGGCCGCACTGAGTGGATTTGGAAAAATTAGTGAGCGCTACTTCTGCATTGCTGTGTGTCAATTTATGCATTGCTGTGTGTGAGGGTACGTTCAAAGCTTGCAGTAATCAGATGTGAAACGGTCCTGTTTTTTAGTAATTTTGAGTGACCCCGGAGATGAATCCCCACTTGCCGTTTCATTTATCGGGTAGTTACAGTTATCGGGGTTTGCAGTTATCGCGTGGGCACTGTACTCTAATCTTAGAGTATTTGGCCGTTTGGCACTGTATACAGAGCCGTTTGTTAAGAAACTGCCCTCTGTACAGTCAGAAACGGCAGTTTCTTGTGTCCATGACAGCACGAAACTGCCCTACACATATGTCTAAACGGCCGTGGCGTGTCCAATTCCCCGAATTTAACGTCCAAGTACTGGGTAATTGGCAGGAAACCACACGTTACGTTCAAAGAACGACTCTAGGATAGACTATTCATACATATGAAAGAGCAAAGAAATTGGAGAAGATATAAAAGCAACCGCAAAGGTAATGTACTTCTGAGCCCTGTCCTGGCACCAGCCTCTCCACGGCCTGCAAACATGGAGATTCCCTCTGCCACTCCAATTGTGAACGCACTTCGCAAAGTGCAACGCTCGCAACGCTCTCCATCATCCTCCAGTGCCATTACCAACAATGCCCCTTCCTCTGCACCCCCTATTACCCGTCAAACTACGCCAGATAGTGTGACCCCTTCTTCCTGTTCTATCCAAAGGCCCAAAAAACGGAGGCTGCAACAAGTTTCTACGTTATGTCAACGTGTTCAGGTTGTTAACTGGATGGTTGAAGAGATCGAGAGAAGCGGTACTCCCAAATGGATTGTAAGCAAGACGGTCCGGAAATTCCCGGATATTTTCAGTGGACAGGAGAAGGCTAACCTTTCGAAGGCCTCTCGTTGGTACAAGGACAAAGGCAAAATATTGGAAAATGCGCAGAACGAGGTTCGAGTTGTCAGTCATGGGGTGAAGCGCAGACGTCCATTTGGAGAACGACCAGTCTCCGCCATCGCGACAA